CACACAAAAGTAATTCAGGGATCACTTGAAACTAACAAACATAGTTTTTAGTGGGTCATCCTTTATCTTGCTTCTTGGGAGTCTTCAAGCCTTTGTCCTTCTGGAGCAAAATGTAAGGTACAGGCTGATGTTAGTCCAGCAATGCTCTCTGTAGACAGTTTAGCTAAGGATAAAGACAGCTGAAAAGGTGGTTGGACTCAGAAGCTCACTAAGTCGTCTGAAAAAGCTCATCTTCCTGTCCTGGAAGTAGGTAAAAGAGCTTACAAAATATTCACTATGTTTTTTCAGTCATGTGAATGTGAAAGAGTTTGTACAGATCTATACCATGTTTGCTGTTGGAGTTAAAGACCCTTCAGTGCAAAAACAGACACACAAGAGACAAAGGAAATCTTGACAAGGCAATTTCTTTTGATCAAAAGAGTGCAAACATGTATTCACATGAGCACACTATGGCCGACAACAGCTCCTCCTTATATCCCTGACCCGGTGTCCCTACCCCTTGCCCTGGATTGGTCCAGGTCAGAGGTTCACAATCTCTCCTGATTGGCTACAAGTTTGGGGGATAGGTTAAGGCACATAGTTTAGTGGGCAATGGAGCTGTACAAGAATCCAGAAGAAGAAACAGGAAACTTTAGACATATAAGTAACCTTAGATGGCAACATTTAAGCCATTTATGAGGGTGACATATACTTTAATAGAAAAGATTGTTTTCCTTACAATTCCCTCCACTTTTATTTTAAATTCTTTTTCGGACTCATTTAGAAGTTGTTGACTTTCATGTTCTTGTGTATCTAATAGAAATAAGTCATTTGGGTAAGATGGAGATAACTGTTTGGTGAAGGCTGTTTCAATTAATTGTTGGACTAAATATCCTTGGACACAAGAAATTATGCAGCATCCTACTACTATTAAAACTCCAGCCACTATGACCAGGGAGTTTAAGATTGAGGTCATCCAACCCTTCCATTTCCCAAACCATTTTTCCATGAAATCGATGAAGGGATCATTTATACCTGAGTTTTCAGCTAGTTCATTTGATAGGGTAGTTAATCCCTGTAGGGCCTTGGTAATAGTCCCATGTATTATTTGGTATATATATGCAACATGAAACTCCATTCATTACACAAATTCCTCCCTTTTCTGCCAGTATCATGTCTAATACCCGTCTGTTTTCCCAGGCCATCTGACAAGTTGGTCCCAATTGTTCTGCTATCCCTTTGATAGCTGCTCTGGTATAGTTTACAACCCTTTGTTGATCATAATAAATATAATTGATCCAATCAACATTTTAACTTGTGGTGGACCACCAAAAAAGCACCAATGCAAATCCAGCTGCAATTTGATTTCTGGCTTTGAATTCATTTGGCCCTCCTCTGGGAACCCTCATGGAGGTCAAAGGAACCTCTACCATTAGCTGCATTGTCTATGCCTATATCTCTCCCTTTTCTAGATGTTGTGGTGTGGGCGGGGGATCTGAATGCTAGAGTGAAAGGGATTGCCAATTGCACCAAAAGCACAGGTGCTTGCCCAATTGCTTAGAAGAGTCTCAAGTAAATGTTCTCCATGGTACCACCAAATGCTGGCTCTGCCCACCGAGAGTGTGCTCACATGTCTGCTCGGCCTGAGTGAATCCATGCTTGCACCCTTTTGATCAAAAGAAATTGCCTTGTCAAGATTGCCTTGTCTCTCGTGTGTCTGTTTTCAGCACTGGAGGGTCTTTAATGCCAACATTGCCAAGAAGACTAAATTTCTGTGAGGATATCCTACCCTGCAACTGAGGGGTAGAAAAAAGGAAGTATTGCTGCTTCCTTCCTTGCCTACAAATAAATATGCTTCTCTAAAAGTAGATAGGATGGGACAGGGTAAGACAAAAGAAGCAACAGGAGGAACAATAATTCTCAAATGAAGTCAAAGCATTTATAGTTTAGTGTGGAAGTATTAGGTCCTCTGCTAGAGGCAGCTGGCTGTCATAATGATAACAGGAGAGAATGCCAGTACATGGACTCTCTCTTGCTTCGGTCTCCTGTTTCGAGGAGACACATGGTGAAGCTTGGAAGGATAGAGTAACATAGTTAAGAGTTAGTTGTTCTTCATTTGGGGAGGCCTAAGACAGAACCTAATTTATTTAAATGGGTTGTCTGGTTTCCTTGACTCTTGACATTATATGCTTTTCTAAAACAGAATGTATCTCATAGTCATTATAAATACTTAATACGGAAGGGTACTGTCTCGTGAATATCTGTTACTAATGACCAGTTTTGGGCTGGTGGAGTAGTATATCTGCCTGGTAAGTGTGAGGCCCTGAGTTCAGCCCCCATTACCACCCAAAAAAAAAAAAAAAAAAGGTTAGTCTCTTGATCATATGTTAGGATACGGGAAATAAGGTATTTTCTTCAGGGAAGTTATATTCCAGATCACCCTAAGACTTCTTTCAGTGAAATTGTTGAAGAATTATAGTGAGGGACTTGGGGATATAGGTCAGTGGTAGAGCACTTGCCTAGCATGTGTGAGGCCCGGGGTTTGTTCTCCAGCACAGGAGGAGAAGAGAGAGGAAGAGAGGGAAATGGAGAGACAGAGGAAGGAAGAAGCGGGAAGGAGAGGAGAAGAGAAGCGAAGGCAAAGAATTATAGCAAAGGATGCTTAAAAAAACTGAAAGCTGTGGAAAAAGTTACTAAAATTTAAAATGACTATGTGTGGTTTGTATTTCAAAAAGTTTAAGAAAGTGAGTTCCATAGACTGTAAATGAGGCTAATTGATCTTTAGCAATACTATAGAACAGAGGTCAGCAACTTTTTTCTGTAAAGGACCAGAAAATAAGTGTTTTGACCTTACGGGCTGTCTCATCTCTGTCACAAGTGCTGAACTGTGCGAAATGAGCAAGGCTATTTTCTAGTAAAATTTTATTTACAATGCATTTGGCAGGGCCATATGGCCTGTATGCAGTAGTTTGACCACCCCTGCTCTAGAATAGATGGCTAAATGGGTATTTTTATAAGTACCTGGAGAACTAGTAAGAACTGGGAGCCACTTTGTGTGCTTTGAGAATAGCTCTGGCTGTGGCAGTTCTTTTCCCATTTTTTTCAGCAGGGTTACTGTTAAACAAGATCAAAAGCATACCTTACTTTTACTTGGTTGAGGCATTTTACAGAATGTTTCAAAAGAAGTTTTTGTACAAGATAGGAAAAATGCAGGACACTGCAGTTAGGTTGTTAACTCTTTGGCTCCTGATTTAAAAAAACAAAACAAACAAACAGAAAAATCACTGGCCAATGACAATAGAAGGGAGCAAATATCCAATGAATGAATGCTAATAGAAAAACTCAATTAATATGATTTCTTTAAAATTTTTTACATATTAGCTTTTGAAAAAAACATAGTAAATTATCCCAGTGTGTACAATGAAATTCTGTATATCAAAATAATATTGTATTTCTCAAAGAGTACTGTATTCTACTGCCCATTAATTAAAAAAAGGTTTAAGAACCCCAGGTAGCCATCTGTTCAGTACTGTTCTCACCTCAGCTCTGAAATGTTCTGTATTTTTAATCAATGAATTTTATAATACAATGGCAAATTAAATTTTAGTAACTCAAAAACCTTATCTTCATACCTGTTCTTAATTAATAAGCATTCATAAATTAAGTACTGTCTCTCCCAGGCTCACTGTTTGAAGCTTTATAGGAAACACAGTGCAAAGCCCTTTGTGTCCAGCGGTTTTCTGGTAGTTACAATATTTTGAACACAGCAACAATTTAAGTCAGCACCAAACCAAAACTTCCTTAGGTCCCAAAGTTTTAGTCACAAAATCTATATACTTTCCCTTCCTAATACTCAGATATGTTAGATATAATACTTGCTTACATTTCTCAGAAAATGGTAATGCTCTTCTGGAATGTTAGGGAAAGGGAATGGGAAAACTAGAATTCATAACTACTGGTTCAGGAGGACAAGGGAAAGCAGAAGCAGGTGTAAATGAGCAAAAGTGTACCAACTGGGACTCAGTATTACAAAAGACAGAAAGACCAGCTCAATTTAGCCTAAACAAAGGACAGGGGGGAGGATTATTAGCAATATATTATATAACTGAAAAGTCTAGAAAGCCAGCTAGTTCCCAGTTATGCAAACACTATTACCAAGTTCAAGTGCCTGGTGAGAGCTGCTTCTACTTCTGTGGTGGTGACTTCATTCTCAGTTTCACACTGTGACCTCCAGAAGCTCTTCCTGTTATGTTGACAAAACAGCTTTGCCCATTCATACCCCCACATCTTTCAGAAAGCCTTTGCAAGAGGAAAGAAACCTTTCTCACAGAAGCCCCAAGGAAAGCCTCTTTGACTTTCGTTGGCTCTAATTAGTTTATATATCAGCACCTGAACCAATCATCATGGGAGGTGGGTAGAGCATTTGATTGGCTCAGGTCAATGAAGGCCAGCCCCAGAGTTGGGTTTGTATCAACCCCACTCTGACTAAGGGAAAGGTTTGTCTTCTCAAAGAAGATTTGGAGTCTTGTACCCAGGAAGAGGAGGAGTATAAAATACAGGCAACAAACAGCTGCCTCTTATAAGAGCTGTGAAACCTGACAGAATAGAGGAAACCCACCAAAGTGGAGATAGTGGGTGTTCCAGACAAAACAGCACAGCAATATGATCCCCATCCACACCTCTGCAGTTTGTGAAGAAGCATTGCAATGTTGTAGTGTATCATTGGTATTCATAGTCATGAACCTGAGACATTGTTTGATTCGCAAAGACCAGGAAGTACATGGGTGTTGGAAAGGTTTCTGTGTATTTTAATAAATAAATATTTTTAAAGAACCCAAACTAAGCCAAGTGAAAAGCTTGCTCTCTTTTTTTTAACCACGCCAGAATTCATTCATTAATTCTTTTTTTAACGTCTGTTTGACTGAAATATTCTTTAAAAGCTATGTTGTAGTTAAGTGTGGTTTTTGTCTTTAAAGAGTAAGTTTTCATTTAGTTAAAAAGATATATTTTCTTTTGTCCAGAATGCATACACAGCCACAGCTATCAACAGCACCAACTTCTGCACCTCAGCAAAAGATGCCTTTGTCATTCTGGTGGAGAATGCTTTGCGAGTGGCTGCCATCAACACAGTGGGAGACTTCATGTTATTCTTAGGCAAGGTAAGAACAAGTATACTCTCTGAGACAAGTATACTGTCTAGGTAAGTGTTGCAAAATTTTGCCCTTTCATTTAAAAAATATCTAGCCCAACTCTGAACTGAAACTAATTAAACATATAGCAAGCACTTGCAAAGCCTGTAATGTGTATTAGATATGGTTCTGTTTAATGTACATGTATTCACTTAAATCTCACAAAAAAATTTACAGGGTAAGTTCTGTTATTCACCTTTTACAAATGGGAAAACTGTGGTTCAATCTGGCTAAGTGGTCCACTCTTCTCCTGACATATTTTGAACTATAAAGAATTAGGAAAGAAGCCACATGCTGGTGGGTCACACCTGCAATCCCAGCTACTTGGGAGGCTAAAACTAGGAGGGTTGCAGTTCAAGGTCAGCCTGAGCAAAAAGTTTGCAAGACTCATTTCAACCAGTAACTGCACCTGGTGGCACAAGTCTGCCATCTCAAGCTACAGGAAAGGCTGAGATCAAGAGGATCAAGGTTCCAGGACAGCCTGGGTAAAACAAAATTTGGGAGAAGCCATCTCAACAGAAAAGGCTGGGTGTGGTTGTGCATGCCTATCATCTCAGCTATAGTGGGAAGCATAGACGGGAGGATCATAGTCCAGCTGGCCTGGGGAAAAAAGCGAGACCTTATATCCAAATAACTATAGCATAAAGGGCTAGAGATGTGGCTGAAGTGGTAGAGTGCCTGTCTTGTGACACGAAGCCTGAATTCAAACCCCAGGTCTGCATCCTCCCTCCTCCCTTTCCCCAAAACAAGAAGAATGAGAAAAGAGTCTGTGTGGTGATTAGGCATCTGAAGTCTAACTTCTTTGTTTAAATCCCGGCTCCGTCACTTACTAGCTGTGTGACTTGAGACTGTGCCTCAATTTGCTCATTTGTAAAATTGGGACAATAATAAGGCCAAGCTCGTAATGTTGTGAAGATTAGATACATGGAGGGTATCTAGGACAGTGCTTGACACGTTGTTACTCTTCAATGAATGCTAGCAGTTTTTGGAGAATGCTGGCAGTTAGCTGCCCTTTTCATTGTATATAAACCTTTTTAAAATAGAGCTATTGGGGAATGAGATTTCTACTTTGCTTAGAAGTGTCTGAGGAGAGACAGATTATTCCATACTATTAAAATCTGAAAAATAATGAACAGCATTATATTTAGATTTTGTTGTACCTATATTTCAAACCATTAAATACTCAGAAAATGTGGAAAAAGTAAGGAAAGAATAAGACTTATAACAACACCACTGTACCATACTTTCATTTGTTATTCCCTCCCAGTATTTCATAAGCCTGTGTTCTCTGGTATAACAGAGTATGTATACCTGTTTGTCCTGCCCTTTTAACTTCACAGTATAGCATATGCCTTTTCCACCTTCATTTGGTAAGCTTCATAATTACTCATTTCATGATGGACAATTTCCCATCAAATGCTACTCTTAAACATTCTCTTACTAATGAACCCCCCCCCACACACACACACCCAGGTTGCTCCATCCACCGTGCTTTAAAAATGTCTTGGAAAAGAAAAAAAATCTTGGTATGGGAGAAGCATAGCACTGTGTTGTTTGAATTGGACAGGTTCTTACACACTTGTCGTCTGGAAAGAATTAAGGATAAAACTGTACAGTTAATTATTCTGAATATTTGTAATTAAATTTACATTTATAAAGAATTTGCTCTTGTTACATGTTTTTGTTGTTTTGTTTTTGCAGTGCTGGGGTTTGACTCAGGGCCTCACACTTCGTGGTAGGTGCTGTACCAGTTGAGTCACACGCTTAGCCCTTCCTTTCTTTATTTATTTTTGCTTTAGTTATTTTTCAGTAGGGTCTCCCATTTTTGCCTGGGGTGGGCCTTGAACTGTGATCCCAATCTCCACTTACCTTGTAGCTGGAATTAGTCATAAGATACTAGGCTCCACCCTCTTGTTGCATTTTCAACAGTTAACTAGTTTTGTTAATTTATCCCTAGAGCTAAGAAAGAAATGGAGCAACACAGAATAAAAGCATATATGTACACAGCAGTTTTTTTTTTTTAAGAGAAAAAGGAAGCCATTTAGAAGGAAAAGGGATGTAATTATACTAAGTAGCAGTATCTCGTCCTCCTCTATAAGGTGAGCTACTATTATCTTCATTTTCCAGCAGAGGAACCAAAGTTTAGAGCCAATGTGGGCTTTCTGGGTGCTAGTTATATACTAGTTAACAAATATAATTTAAAATCTAGTGGAAAAGGGAATATTTTAATCCCTTTTTTTACTTGGTGTTATATTACGATCATTTCTTCTTTTACTAAAAAGTTTTCTAACTATAGATATATAATTATTATTATCATTTATTTATTCAATTATCTAGTTTCATTCCTTCCTCCCTCCCTTTTCTTTCCTTTCCTTTTCCTTTCCCCTTCCACTCCCCCTTTTTTCCCCCTCTTTCCCTTTCCCTTCCCCCTCCCCCTTTTCCTTTCCATTCCTTTTCCTCTCCTACTGGGAATTGAACCCCCAGCCTTGAACATGCAAAGCAAGTACTCGACCACATGAACCATACCCCCAGCTATTTGAGTTTTTTAACAGTTAAACTATTCTCAATTTTTTACTAATCTAAGATATGTTGCAGTGAAACTTTTTTGTACAAATCTTTGCCCACACTAATTAGAGCTTATTTGAATCCTAGAATCATAGAAGTAGAATTAATTAGGGTTCTTGATGTGTGTTGCCAAGTTGCTTTCCAGAAAAACATCATTTAAAAATAATAATATTATTGAAATGACATCAAAAACCATGAAAGATTTATTCTTCTAAGAAGAACTCTAAAATGGTGAAAATAAAGAAAAAATATCTTCTGGGTTTCTAACATACTAAGATTAGACTATTTAGTTTTGCTTTTTTTAAAAAAAAGAAGATATAGTTCTAAGCTGGGGGTGTAGCTCAGTGGTAGAAGATACTGGGTTCAATCACCAGCACCACATATACAAACATATGAGTGTACATACACATATATTATATATATGTGTGTGTATTTGTATGTTTCTGATCATAGAATTGAGTAGGCTCTTTTAAAAAATTCTTGTCATTAAATGGCTGCTGTTGTGCAGAAATAGTTCTGATCAAGTAGTTTACACTATACATTATGAAAGACAATGTCAGGAGCTATGACATACATGCAGCAACTTTAATGAATCTTGAGGAAATTATGCTGAGTGAAAAAAGTCCAATCTAAGAAGATTAATTCTTTATGATTCCATGACAGCATTATGGAAATAGAGAATGAATTTGTGGTCATCTAGTTAAAGATGGTTTGGGAGAAATGGGAATAATTTTAAAATGGTGAAGAGTGCAGTGGTTCATGTCCATAATCCCAGATACTTAGGAGGCAGCTACCAGAAGAATAGCAATTCAAGGTTGCCCATGCAAAAAGTTAACAAGACTCCATATAGACAAATAAGCCAGGCATGGTGGTGCATGACTGAAATCCCTGCTACATACAAGGTGTGGACAGAAGGATAACAGTCTGAGGCCAGCTCCAGACAAAAGTTGAGAACCTATCTAAAAAATAGCTAAATGCAAAAAAGGGTGGGGTGTGTGTGGCTCAAGTAGTAGAGCACCTGCCTAGCAAGTGCAAGGCCCTACTACTATCAAAAAAAGGTGAAGTGAAGTAATGATGTTCTGTATCATGACTGTATCAGTATCAATATCCTGATTGTGATATTGTACTATAGTTTTTACAAGGTGTTACCTTTGAAGGGAACTGGACAAAGGGTACATGGAATCTCTTTTATTTCTTACAACTGCATATGAATTCACAATTACCTCAACTTTTGAAAGCCAATTTTTAAAGCCTTGAATTTCAAATGGAAACAAAAAGATACAGTTTCATTTCAAAGGAAACCAGATGGTTTTTATAGAATGATTTGGAAGGGACAATAGCTCTTTTAGTTTTTGTCTTAAGACCTATGATTATTGGACTATAGCATTCTAAAGGAAAGAATAGAGATTTATAAGCTACCTAAATACTTAAAATCCAAAAGGTTTTGATTTTTGCCTCAATAATGCTACTCCCCCACAAGGCCCCCCCCAAAAATTTTCAATTTCTGGTCTTCTGTATGTTACTTCTGATTAGTAATACTTTTTCTCACATTAGATATGTCTTCTACTTGACAATTTATTTGAGGATGTAAGTTATTATTTATAAATGCTATTTATTGGTAAACAAAATCTCTGAAAAAACAGTTTCTAATGAGAAAGGACATCATAAATGCAGGACTTAAACTGGCAAGAAAATAAATGGTTGGAGAGAGGAGCATTGCCAGACATTGAGTAAATGCTTTCAAATGCTCATTTCAGTAAACATGGAGTATGTTTATTACTATGTCTCTCTCAAAGATGGAGAAACAGGCTAGAAGGGTCCCAAGTGACCCTGTTGAATACTCCCTACCCTGGAGATCACTGGTACATACCATTACTTCTTGAGATGTGGCCTTTTCGGTACCTGGAATTCTTTTAAAATGCTTGTTGCTAGGTTTCATCTTAGATCCAACCAATCAGACTCTCTGGGATCAGATCCCAAGAATCATATTCCTGGCCTCTCTAAAGTTTGAAAAAATGCATGATACCCTTCCATTATATTTGGGAGTAAGTATTGCATCTCTGACTTTTTGGGCTAACCATTACAATTCTGGAAGTTACTTTACACATTATGTAACTTCCCAGCTCAACAGCTTTGGTCATAACATCCACTTCGGTAGAGCCATATCCTCTTCCTGTAACTGACTTCAATGTTTCAGATGTGGTGTAACTGTTAGTGGCATAGTGAGAGCATAAAGCACCCGGCTTACCATTAGGATGAATATTCAAAATTTGAAGAGAGTATAGAAATAACTCACTTTAAAATTGAAAACTACAAGAGTGAAAGAAAATAGGTGTAATTAACCATCTGTAGAAATAAGCCCAGAAAATAAGTCACTGTTAGAGATGAGTCACAAGTATATTGCCTCAGAAATGGCGGGAGGAGTCTTCCAAAGCTTCAGCGGATCCAGATTTGCTTGTAAAAGCATCTGCGGGGTGGGGGGGCGGTCAGTTTATAGCCACACCAATTGTCATCTGATACATTATAACTTGATAATGGTGAGGGAGAGATTCGTTGTTGTTGATAAATAGTGGGGAACATGCAAAAGTCTGCCCTGTCCTCAGCACTAGCTAAGAAAAGACTGCTGTGATTCTAGAGTCCTTTTTCTCTTTATTTAAAACCTGGTACTAGCTAAGTAAGTGGCCAAGAAAGAATGTGTCTAGGATTCAATATAACAGACCCTTTATTGCTATGTGTCAGTACCCAAGTATTTGCTGAGTTCTTCTGGGTTTTTTTGCTGTTCTCAGGTTTGAACTCAGGGCCTCATGCTTGCTAGACAAGCATTATATCACTTGAGCCACTCTGCCTGCCAGCTCATACTTGCTTGAGTTGTTTTTTTTGGTTTGTTTTGTTTTTGTTGTTTTAAATTTTATTACTATATAGTAGTTATACAGGGGATACACTGTGATATTTACATAAGCACTTATAATATATCTTAGATTTACCTCGTCCATCATTCTCCCTCATCCTCCCTTCTTAGAACAATTTCTACAAATTTCACTCTTCTACTTCAATATATGAATACAAAATACATACATCATATTCACCCTTTCCTTTTGCCCACCCCCTCCCATTGATACTTACTCCCAGAAAAGACCTATGTACCCTCCTGTCCTTAATTTTTCTTAAAGTGGGTATTGATAATCCAGTGGGTGTCACCTTAGTACTTCAGGCTATATATATATTTATTATGCTTTAACCAACCCCGCCATTGTTTACTCTTCATCAAATGCTCCCCTATTAGTCAACAGCTTATATTGTAGTACATTATATTCATATATAGATGGGTTGTTTCAATATTTTTCATTCTCCAACATTTTCTTCCCCTCTCCTGCCTCCCGAAGTCCCCTCAGACAGACTTACTAGTACAGTTTTGTTCTTTTTCACTATATATATGTATGTGTGTATGTATGTGTATGTGTATGTATATATACACACACACACATATATGTAGTGTATATATATTTATGTATATATATGATCAAATATGTATTTATATATACATTTAACTTAATAGGTCTAGCTTCCATATATGAGGGAAAACATGTGACCTTTACTTTTTAAGCCTGGCTTACTTTACTTAATATGATGTTCTACAACTTCATCCATTTACCTGCAAACAACATAATTTCTTTCTTTTTTTATAGCTGAATAAAACTCTATTGTCTATATATTCCACATTTTCTTGATCCATTCCTCAGTTGAAGGGCATCTAGGCTGTTTCTACAGCTGGTACTTCCATCTTCTGATGTTTTCATTGTTTTCTTTCTTTAGTGATTTGTGATTTTCATTGTACAGGTCAGTCACCTCCTTCATTAAATTTATTCCTAGGTATTTTAATTTTTTTGAAGCTATTGTGAATGATACTGTTTTCCTGATTTCTTTCTCAGACTATTCATTGTTTGTGTATAGAAATGCTATTGATTTTTGTGTATTGATTTTGTATCTTGCTACTTTGCCGAATGTGTTTGTGAGATCTACGAGTTTTTTTGCTGAGTTTTAAGGGTCTTTTATGTATAGAATCATATCTGTAAATAGGGACAATTTAACTTCTTCCCTCACTATATGAATCCCTTGTATTTCTTTATCCTGTCTTATTGCTCAGGCTAGGAACTCCAGCGCTTTGTTGAATAAGAGTTGGGAAAGTATACACCTTTGCCTTGTTGCTGATTTTAGAGGAAGTGGTTTCAGGTTTTCCCTATTTAGGACTAGAAGAGTGGTTCAAATGGTAGAGTGACTGCCTAGCAAGTGTTTAAACCTCAGTACTAAAAAAAAAAAAGAATAAAGTTTTTCCCCATTTAGTATGATGTTGGCTATAGGTTTGTCATATATAGCCATGGTAAGGTTGAGGAGTATGCCTTCTATTCCTAGTTTCTTCAGAGCTTTTTATCATGAAAAGATGTTGAACTTTGTCATTGGCTGTTTTTGCATCTATTGATATGCTTGATGATGTTTTTGTGCTTGATTCTGTTTATGTGTTGTATTATGTTTATTGATTTGCATATGTTGTACCATCCTTGCATCTCTGGAATGGTGCATGATCTTTTTAATGTGTTGTTGGATTCTGTTAGCAAGTACTTTATGGAGGATTTTCACTCTATCTCTATTAGGCATATTGATCTATAACTTAACTTTTTTGATGCATCTTTACCTGGCTTTGGCATTAGGATAATACTGGCATCATAGAATGTGTTTAGTAGTATTTCATTTTGTACTTTATGGAATAATTTGAGGAACATTGGTGTTATTTCTTATTTAAAGGTCTAAAGGTTTGGTAGAATTTAACAGTGAGTCTATCAGGACCTGGGCTTTTCTTTGTTGGGAGGTTCTTTGTAACTGTCTCAACCTCATTGCTTGTTATAGATCTATTTAAGTTTTTAATGAACTCTTGATTCAATTTTAGTGAGTCATATGTCAAGAAATTTATCTATTTCTTTTTCAGTTTCTAGTTTGTTAGAATATAGGTTTTTAAAGTATTCCCATATATTATTTTGAATTTCATTGGTGTCTGTTGTAATATTCCCTTTTTCATCTCTGATTTTATCAGTTTGGTTCTTCTTTCTCCTTTTAGTTAATTGGTTAACACTTTGTTGATCAATCTTTTTTACTTTTTTAAAGAACCAGCTTTTTGTTTCATTGATTCATTGTATCATTTTTTTTGGTGTCCAGTTCATTGATTTCTGCCCTGATTTTTTTAATAATCTCCATCTATTACTTTTTGGGTTGGCTTGCTGTTGTTTTACTAAGAGTTTGAGATGTATTATCAGATTATTTATGAGATCTGCCTAATTTTCTGATGTGGCACTCATAGCTATAAACTTCCCTCTTAAGGTTGCCTTTACTGTGTCCCACAGGTTCTGGTAACTTGGGTCCTCACTTTCATTTGAATCTAGGAATTTCTTAATTTCTTTCTTAATGTCTTCAATGACCCATCGATGGCTCAAAAGTGTAATTTTATTCCATTATGGTCTGCTAGGATATAGGGGATTGTTTCAAATTTTGTATTTGTTGATTTTTGCTTTATGAGGATGCTATATGGGAATGCTGTTTTTGAAGATGTAATCTGTTTTGGAGAACACTCCATGGGCTGCTGAGAAAAATGTATAATCTGCTGCTGTAGGATGAAAGACTATAAATGCCTGTTAAATCCATTTTGTCCACAGTATTGTTTAGTTCTTGTATATCTTTGTTGATTTTGGGGGTTGGCATCATGAGACCATTACCCGAGTGGAATCTGTAATTTTTTTTCTTTTTTCACCATGTTCCTTCTTATACGTATCAAAACTCATACTGTGCAATACACACAAGTGCTACTTGTTCTGTTCTTTATTCTGTGACCTCAGGCAGATTGGTTAACAACTCTGAGCATGTTTCCCAAACTATAAAATGGGGTTGGTCATATTTACCATTAACCATTCATAGGGTTATTGAAAAGCTGAAATGAACTGTATTAAAAGAATCATAAAAAATTTACAGTATTGTATATGAAATAATGAAGCACTAGAGTAAATTGTTCTTAACAGGCTATTTTATTATTTTAGTGTGGATGTTGTTTGGCAACCTTTTCTTCACAGTTCAAATCTAAACTACATGCTTAATTATTAAATTTACTATATATTCTGTATGAAATAAAATATGAAACAGGAAAATTTCTGAGAATAGTGGTGTTTGTTGCAGCATCACTTAATCTGAAAATAATATTCTCCAACAGTAGGAGAATAGTTAAATAAATTTTAAATTACTCATAAGATGAAATTAGGCAGCTGAGTATGAAGCATATATAATGAAACTATAAATTTTAATGACAAGTTTTTAATGATTTTTTTATGTAATACAATTTCATATATGTATGAATGCTTAGAAAAAATACATATCAATACCAATGTCAATAATTTTTTTCTGTGTACTGAGTAATTTTTCCATAATATGCTTCTATTTAGCTTAAAAATTGCCGTATTCTAAATAACTGAAGTTTCTAGAAGCAGTATAGCATTTAGAAAATTCAATTCTCTTTAAACAAAAGTTATTCAAATGTGATTTTTTTAATGTACATTAAAGTATGTACAGCTACATACATGATACCTCTTTTTTTTTTTTAAGGGGAACTAGGATTTGAACTCAGGATTTTGTGCTTGCAAAGCAGGTGCACATAACCTGAGCCACACCTCCAGTCCACTTTGCTCTGGCTGTTTTGGAGATAGGGTCTCACAGTTTGTCCAGGCTGGCCACGAACCACAGTCCTCCTGATCTCAGCACCCCTTCCCCAAATGACTAGGATTACAGGCATGAGCCACCAGCACCCAACCTATGATACCTCTTGATATGAAATGGAATGGCATATGCAAACATCATTTATAAAAAGTCAGAGTATTTTAAGACTGCAAGTGATGAAGAAGTTGTGGATTTCTGCAGTTAGGCATTACATGTTGTCTTTGCTCTCTCTGCTGCAGGTGCTGATAGTCTGCAGCACAGGTTTGGCTGGGATTATGCTGCTCAACTACCAGCAGGATTACACAGTATGGGTGCTGCCTCTGATCATCGTCTGCCTCTTTGCTTTCCTAGTCGCTCATTGCTTCCTGTCCATTTACGAAATGGTAGTGGATGTATTATTCTTGTGTTTTGCCATTGATACAAAATACAATGATGGGAGCCCTGGCAGAGAGTTCTATATGGATAAAGTGCTGATGGTAAGTATTTCAGATACCCTCTTCTGCTTCAGGGATAAAAGATAATAAAAATATTTTATGAAACATTCTCTATATTTAATCCCCAATATATGCAACAGAGTAATTCAGTATTAAAACAGCACTCATGAGTGAATGAATGAAATTAATCTTGGGCAGATCAGGGAAGAAGGCCTTCCTAGCATGGAGACTTGTTAATAGTCCTAAATATGCACTATTCCACTCTGCTGCCCCTCTCTCTGTGCAGCTGGATGAATTTGATTGGATTTGTAAACTTTCCTTCCAGCCCTTGGATTGGACCATTTTGGGTCACTGATATACTAAGTCCCTTTTCCTGAAAGGGGTTTAAGAACAAAAATTCTTATCCTCAGATCCTAATGCCTACCTGTCTTTCTCCATCAGCCACTTCTCTAAATGCTATTGCTGTCATCCCTCTCATCATCCTGAATATGGCAGGCCAAACTTGAAGGGATTTTATAATGAATACAGTAACAGACCTATGACTGGTAGATTGTTTTATATTTTCATATTTGTCAGTATCTGAATCTTTATACAGATATTATATTCAGATAGTTTGCAGTTATGTAGCCTGTGTAGCTTCTTATAGCCACATTAAAAAAATTTAAACAATTTGAAAATCATTTTAAAATGCTTTAAGTATGTTTTCATCCATGTTAAATGATATCAAATTAAAGATGCTTTTTAACAATGATCCTTACTATTAAGCTGTAAAATATTCCTATCTTGCAAATAGATGATATCAAAGACTAAATATTATACATCAAGATATAAGTCATTTTCCAGGAGCATGATTTATACAATTAAAGCAAAAATAAATGTTTTAATAATTTAAATAGCAAAAATTCCAAATGATTTAGCTGACCTATTTGTTACTGATTATCTCTTGTTGAGAACATCAACTAAATTTTGAACATTTTCACACTGCCTAAATTAATTTTAACTGGTTGTTTTTATAATGGGTTTTGATCTATGAGCATATGAGCATTGCATCTCTCTTATGATTAAAGCACTTGGAAGAAGAGTTTGTTTTTGTTTTTTAAGGCACTGATGAAAGGGAGAGCTTTTTTTTTTTCTTTTTTTCTTTATTATTTTCAAGACAGAGTCTCACCGTGTAGCCTCAAACTTGTTATTCTTCTGCCTCAGTTTCCTTAGTGCTTGACTTACAAGTGTGTGCCACCACATCCAGCCAAAAACAGAGTTTTTCTTCTTACAGTTTTCTGTATTGGAATGATAAGGATATTTAATGGAGAGCTACTCCATAAACTTTGACAGGATAGAAACATTTTCTTTGGAAATAATCACATTTAACTACTTTTGACTATACTTCTGGTAGATGTTTTCTGTCTTCCTGCTTTATGGAATAATTTCAAGACTAGATAGACATTTCTGAATTAGCTTATTTCTTATTTTGTCTTTTTTTAAAAGTATTTCATACTTAGCAGTATTAATGCATTTACCTTCCAGGTCTTTTTTTTTTTTAAGTGGAGGTTTATGAAGTAAAGCGTTCTTGTTTCATTTGACTTTGACATGGGAAAAATAAAACAATATTCTTAGTGTGGGAAAATTCATCTTTTAAAAATGTTAGGTATTTTTTCTTCTGGATAGAACTAATATTATCTCTTGGAGCGTTAGTGAGATTGTCATAATGAATGAGTAGAAAGAAGGTTTTACATCAGTTGATACAGTGCATCCCTATAAATTTAGCATCTCTTGGACTAGAGGTGTGACTCAAGCTGTAGAGTACCTGCTTTGCAAGTGCAGAGCCCTGAGTTCAAACCCTAGTTCTACCAAAAAAAAAGAAGAAAAATTTTATCAAATTTAGCATCTCTGATGTGTGATACTAAGTATTATTTACTGCTATATGTTTAGGCCATCCATCTACTGAGATTGAGTGAAAAATGTAAATGTTTAGGATTAATTTACTGACTAAAACCTGAAAAGACCCCAAAATTAATGCCATATGGTCCATATTTTGCAGGAGTTTGTGGAAAACAGTAGGAAAGCAATGAAAGAAGCTGGTAAGGGAGGCGTTGCTGATGCCAGAGAGCTAAAGCCTATGGTAGGTGGCGATGAGGAGGTAGCCGCCCTCCAAGAATTTCACTTTCACTTCTTCTCTCTCTCTGTCTTCACTGACTGCACTTCTTCAGGAGAAGCGTTTGTTATCTGTATCACTCAGGATATGCTGCTCTTTCTGTTTGTGTGTTTACCCATCACTTGGATGGCAGGATTCTTGTTACAGCTGAGATCTTCTGTAAAAGTAAGCTGAAAGGAACAGCATCTTTATACCAGTGCCTGTGAGGATCAGGGGTGATAGTTTTGTCCAAGGTGAAACTGCTTTTTCTCTTGTTTTCTTTCTAGCTGTCAGTGTTTAGTTTTCATCTAACTCACCAAATATTTGGGTGTATACTTAAACTGACAGTTTGATTTTTTTTTTTTATCGTTTTGGAAGGTGATACTAGCAGTTCCTTTCAACTTGCTAAAATTCATATTCCTTTTTTTTTT